TGGGCAGAAATTATTGACTTGCAAATTAAGCACTGGTTTGGATTTTCCAAACAAGGACACAATAATTCACAAATTAAAGACGTGCCCCTATCCGCCAGAACTGCCTGACCGACAGTGCTGCCAAGATAGCAAGTGAGATAGAAAGGACAGCAGAACAGTGACAAAACATCAGCATTTATTTTGAGTTAGTTTGGGGCCAAAATGTGTTCATTTTCTTTTCGCCTTAGTCCCTTTATTAATCTGGGGTCGCCACAGCGGAATGAACCGCCAACTTATCCAGCATATGTTGTACGCAGCTGATGCCCTTCCAGCTGCAACCCATTACTGGGAAACATCCATACTCATTCACACACACTATGGTCAATTTTAGCATACTCAATTTACCTATAGCGCATAACTTTAGACTTGTGGGGGAAACCGGAGCACCTGGAGGAAACACAGAAATGCCAACTGACCCAGCCGAGGTATGAACCAGCGACCTTCTTGCTGTGCTGGCTGATCGTGCTACCCACTGCGCCAGCAGGGCAAAAATGTAATTGTTCAATGGTAACTGTATTTTGAATTATTTGAAGTAACAGTTTTATTTTTTATATTAGTAAAATGTTTGTTTATATGTATATATTAAAATCAGAAATGGCTCTTTGCTGTAAAAAGGTTCTCAACTCCTGTTTTAGAGCTACAGTTTTATATATGTCTTCATATGAAACACATTTGTGTAAAGTTTCTCATGGTGATAAAAAAAAGACTTTGGTGTCAAAAATACATAATGCTGGCTTTTAGGTAGTTTTTTTGGATAGAAGTCCCTCTGGATGCATAAAGTGTCTGTGAAATGTATAAATATGAATCAATTGAAAAAGTACCTTTTGCATTTACTCCTGTGAAGTCTAGTATGACGATCCTGTCATGCTTTCAGGCTTCATTGCTGTTTGGCTCCAGTGGCAAGAACACAAGGCCTCAATGTGACCTTTAGCAATAGAAAACAACAGAAAACAGTATAAATTGTCATGTAAATGTTTATAAGAGTCAAATAAGTGAGGTAACATGACTTTTAACTGTTTTAAATGAAAATGTACCAATAAGCATTGTTATTTCCGCTAGAAATGTGCTCAACCAATCACAAAGGATGTATCTGACCTCATTCTTCTCGACCTCGGGAGGAGCATGAACCTTTTCTCCTTGTGAATAGCTGAGGAGATTCTTTTAATCAGACCAAAATGACTTGTCCATGAATATGATTTGGCCACAGTGCCTCGCATTGACTCCGGCCCCATCAGGTGACCTCAGGAACGCAGAAAAACATCACGTGCATCACGACGCTTTCGCCTGAGATGCAAAAAATACATTGTGAAGCCATTTATGGTCTCAATGTTACCTTAGTTCTACCTTAATGTGGTTTCCATTGAAATAATTTCATTTTGGAGCAATTTCGGCCTGAAAAAGATCCAATAAATGTTTATTAGGCGAGTGGCTCCAGCAGTGCACAATCTCACCTAGGAGGATTGGATGCAGATGTGGGAAAATCTTCAAAATGCCGAGCCTCTTGTTGGTCTGATGAACTAAATACAGAAAGGAGACGTGCAGACTTGAGAAAAACATTGGTTTTCTTTGAGGGGAACCCGTGAAGATATTGAAATTACTAAACTCAAGGGGTACTGTGCTAGAAAATAAACAGACTTGGGGGAGGAAAAAAAGCAAAAAAATGTGTAATTATTATACTGAGTAATCAAATGTGTACATTTAATTAATTCTACACTGAAATATCAGGATCATTTCATCAGTAGGCCCAAAGACAACAGCTCACCCACAATGAAAATGCTGCCATTACTTAGAAACACTTATTTTGTCTCATTTTATCATACAGAGAAAATATGGACTAAAAGGGCGTTGTGCCCCAAAACATGTCTTCAGCTCGGTTAAACTGTAATTTTTCACAGTAAATTACATTAGTGTCACTTTACAGGATTTAACTGTAAAATTTTACGTATTCAGAGTTTTATTGTGAAATAAAGGCAGGCATTATGATTACAGCAAATTACTGTAAAAATGTCATTTGTACATCAGTTATAGGAATTCAAACACTATTAATATTTTATTCAACAAAGAAATTAATACACATTAACTTTTATGTTCTTTTACATATACATGCACTTTTAAAAATATTTTTATTTACAGAATTATTGCATTTATGAATTACGTCACAGTAATTTACTGTAAATGTACATACAGTGGGGTGCTTTCACACCTAGACTTTTGTTTCAAAAATTGTAGCGTTTCCCCAGTTAGCGCAGTTTCTTTGGCATTTGTGAATCCAGCAATCGCATACATGACAGTGTATTATGGATATGTCGTAGGTATATATAAAGAAAAAATTATGAGTAGGGCGAGATGTCATTCCTACCGGTAAATGTACGTGTCATGTCGAATACCTAAGTGAAAGCATGCTGAGCTATTAACGAGAGCTGTTAATCCATTAGGAAAATTTACCAAACTGTAGTCTTGGTTTATCTGTTATTTCTCTCTATAATGTGAAGCCTATAATGCATAGGTTAACTACTAAGAAGAAGTCTTACCTCTGATTTCAATTTAGTGAAGTCTGGGGGTGTCACCATTAGAAATGAAAGCGCAGCTTTTTGCTTATAATGTCTTATTTTAGTTTATGACAATGAGCAATAAGGATGCATGATAGCCGAGCAGGGCTCTGCTAAATAAACTCTGAAACTCTGACCAATATGAGGAGAGTTTACTCGCATGTGACTTGTTTTAGCTCTTTTGGTTTGTTTAGAAACTTTGCAGTGTGAAAGCGAATCACACCTAGAACAAAGCAACAATTTTTATACCTGTTTTGGAACAAATTAATCGATGTGAAAGGATCCTTACTGTGAAAGTAATGCAATTATTAGTCAGTAATTTACTGTCAATTTAAAGTCAAATATTTTACAGTGTATGACAAAAATGAATGTCAATGGGATCATAATGTTTAAATCGGACGTTACCTCCCGATCAGGACTCGGGGGGGTTCTGTGTTCTACTTTGCCACACACCAATAGCGTCTCTTCAACAAACATGCCGCTCATGTTGCTGTTGCTGTGTGAAGACAAGAAAGAGGTCTAACTTCGTGCCACCGCATAACTATAGATGTGTAAAAAATTTAGAATATATATATATATATATACATACATGCATACATATATATATATATAAATATATATATTCTAATTTTTTAACACATCTATAGTTATGCGGTGGCACGAAGTTAGACGTCTTTCTTGTCTTCACACAGCAACAGCAACATGAGCGGCATAACATCGCTTTGTTGAAGAGACGCTATTGGTGTGTGGCAAAGTAGAACACAGAAGCAGCTTGAGGTGGAAAAAGGGAATAGGCTATGTCTGCGGTCTGGATGTATTATACAACAACATTGCCATAGCAAACTGTGAGATATGTAAATTTGGGATTTCTTGCCAGGTGTTTTAAGTTCGGGTGCAATTTGTTTTTATAGTATTTTTTAGATTATTTTATTATTGATTGCTCAAGCTTCCTCCCAGAAGTGCTCTGTTTTGTTGACAGAATTCTTCAATGTTAAAATAAAGTGAATTAAATTTTAAAAATTAAGGAACATCTGGATCTGTTTCTTAAGACCTTATTTTCCTAATGTATTATAGAAGTATCGGATCGGGTTTCGGTATCGGTATATCCCTACTTAATATGGTCTTCAGGGTCTCTCCAGGTTTTTCAAAGTCAAATTTGAGACTTTTTAAGCCCATTTTGAATGAAATTTTAGACTTATAGGCTAAACACCAAAGATTTTTTTCTAATGGCCTGGTTGTTGTTGCTTTTTTTTTTATTGTTTTTTAACATAAGTTATTTCTTAGCCAAATATTTTTATTTGTCAAAATAAGAAAACTCTAGTTGTATATACACTTTTCAACAATGTTTAATTTTTTTTTAAATGACAAGTTTAACATTGTTGAAAGTATATACAAAAGTATATATTTGTTGGCTTTTTGTCTTAATGGATCGAGTATAACTTTTTTTTTTAACCTAATGCTTTTCAGTTATAAAACCTTGCCTATTCCAAGCCTATTTATAAATATTATGTCCACTTCCTCCTTCCCTATGGTTTTTGTTTAACTGGAAGATCATGTAAAGAGAAACATTGTTATTATGGGGAAGTGTGTAATTGTTTTTAGGCTTCTTTCTTTGATAAAAGATTTAAATTAGGATATTTTGCTGTGAAAACGGCTGTTGTGAATCCGCTTGTTAAGTGTGACGTCACGCGGAGCGGCTTCCGGGTCCAATCGCTCTATTCAACTGAATGGGGAGATTCATGAAATAGTAATAATAAACGTTTACAAAGCGATTTAATACCTTCGAAAGTCACGATCGCAATATGTCCATGCCTAATATCCGATGGGCAGAAAGTGATTCATTGTTTAATAAATTGTTAAAATTTTGGTATTTGTTATGCAGCAAGCCCAAAAATTGTTGTGTACACTATGACTTTATGTAAAATTAACTTTAATGTGTGATAGGAATAAAACGCGATCATAAACAAATGATTTCTCCTCTCAAATGAATGGCGGCTTGGACCCGGAAACAGTATACATACGTCACAAACACGTCACCACTCAACAAGCGGATTGTATCTCTTTGCAAAAAAAACTTGTTTATATTGTTGGTGATTGGATGGATGTTGGACTGATTGGCTAGCTTTACTTAGACAGAAGAAAATCAAGACCCGTTTAAAATGTTTTAAGACACACAACACAATATCACAGTGAATTTTTGCTTTAAGACTTTAAGACCCCGCGGACACCCAATTTTGCAACAGGTTCCCTGTGAGTGTTGGGTTTATGGATAGAAGTGGGGTAGGGCCATATAATATGTGTTTTTTTCACAGTATACCTACCTCCAAGGAAAAATCCTCATAAACCACCAATACTAATGTGTTTGTGTTATTAATGAATAATACTTGTATTAAGAACAGTCATACAACGATCATTACTTCAAAAAGTGTATTTTATTTTGTGGCCCTTTATAGAATAAGGTGCTTATGAGATCACTTACAAGAACTCTCTTTTTTTTAGCATATTTCGTTAAATGTGGCAGCAAAAAGTATAATGCAAGCCCAGCCATTAATAAATGCTTACATTAACACCTAGTAACAAAACCGTAAAACACGAAACCGTTATAGAAAGTAATACAAATATCTTTTATGTTGTCAAATAGGGTTTTTTTCATCTCTGAAAGGCAAATGATTTAACTGACAATTTCTCAGCACCGCCTGGTGGTGAAATTGTGCAAATACGCAGCAAAATGATTCATCTGGTATTTGATCTAAATTCAGTCATGTTGTAAATTTGTTAAAAATGTTTGGTAAGGCTTAGTATTTATAAACTGAATAGTGGATATCAGCAGATTTCCAAAATGTCAGATTAAGGAGAAAATTCACTCCATCTTGGTCAGCTTTGAAGTCAAAATACCATAAGTGCAAAAAATATATAAAAAAGGTGATGCTAAAGTGCTCAAGGCATTTACTTTGAATTGCAGGCTCTTATTTTAAGAAGTTACCTAAACGCCTGGTATAAAACATGTACTGTATAAAGCTGTAAAACATCTCACTGTTATACTGAGTGCGGCTGTATATACTGCATATACGTGTTGTTTTGTGTGTTCTCTGTCTAATTTGCAGCAATGGCATCCTCCAGCAGCGGCTTGTTAAGTTCTGGATCCTTCACCATCTGCAAAACCACAAACATACATGAACACACAGAAACCGTGATGATCACAGTGGATTTGACAGAGTGTTTTTTTACTAGTGCTGATGATTGAGTACCTCTGCATCCTCTGTTTTCGTGCACAAAACTTTCCCAGTCAGAACACAGAAACTAATGGTCACACAGAGCTGAAGCACCGACAACACCATTATCATGATATCCAGACCTCCAGTGATCATCTAGAAGTGGGTTCAGATAAAAAAAAAGACACTTGAATAATGAAATAGTCAATGAGGCCTAAAATAATTAAGTATGAACACTAGCTGTAATCCACTCTCCAATTATATAATTCATTGAACAAACCACAATATTTTTGATCAAGAGTAATGTTGCTCTGAATGAATTATAAACACACTGGTGGTCAATAGTTTGGAATAAATATAAATCTATATATAACTTATCTAAAGCTATTCAATGGTCAAAAATACAGTAAATGCTCCAATTGTAAAAATAAATCTGTATATGTAAATAAATTTACTATAACTGGTTAGATTTTTTTATATTTAAATATCATTTAATCATGTGATGCAAGGCTAATGTGGTAGCATTATTACTTCAGTTTTCAGTGTAACATAATTTTTTAGAATTTTAATATGCCACATAGACACTTAGGCTACTAAGATCAAGTAGTTAATTAATCATAATAGTTGTCAAAAAATGTCATTTTTGTGTCATTTTTTTTCTGCATTATTTTATACTTTATCCCCCAAGATTCTTTAATGAACAAAAAGTAGAACTTTTCTATTTAATAATTGCATATAAAATGTTTCCATAAATATCTTAAGTTTCATAACTGTTATTATTTTACTGCATTTTAAAAATCCATAATAAAAATATATTATTAAAAAATCATTATAAACATTACATTAAATAACTATTTTAAATTAGCAGTATGAATTATAAAGTAGAATCCCAAAGGCTTTAATTGAACCTTTTATTATAAATAAAACAAATTTAATCAGAACCTGATTGGTCTCCATGTATTTCATGCAGGTCTCTCTATCACTCCTCTGTTCAGGGGAAGGTGTTGAAGAATCATAATAATCATTGCAGTATAGATAATTTCCACTGACCAGGTCTATTGAACACATGACTACAGTTGTGATGGCCAGCGCACCACTGACTACATTCAGAAGCAGTGTGAAGGCCAGCTGTAAAACACAAGCAACATAAATTGGTGATGCTTCAAATAATTCCAGAACAGATTTTTTTGATACTTTATGGTTTTGACAGAAACTTACCAGACAAGAACTGGGAAACCAAGCTGTAAGAATAGTCACGATTCCAAATACAATGGCCTGAAAAGCAACCAAATTTTAAAAAAGTCAGAATTATTAGCCCCCCTTTAGATTTTTTTTTCTTTTTTTAAATATTTCCCAAATGATGTTTAACAGAGCAAGAAAATTTTCACATTGTCTAATAATATTTTTTCTTTTGGAGAATTTCAGTTTCTTTTTAATCTCAGTTAGAATAAAAGCGTTTAATTTTTTTAAAAACATTAAGGTCAAAATTATTAGCCCCTTTAACCTATATTGTTTTTCGATATTGTATAACAATGGTTTGTTCTATATACTAATTTGCCTAAATACCCTAACCTGCCTAGTTAACCTAGTTAAGCCTTTAAATGTCACTTTAATCTGTATAGAATTATCTTGAAAAATATGTAATAAAATATTATTCACTGTCATCTTGGCAAAGATAAAATAAATCAGTTATTAGAGATGAATTACTAACTTCAACTGTGTGTGTGTGTGTACTGTATGTATGTATGTATATATATATATATATATTTATTAGGGATGCCACGGTTTTCAATATAATATTGAACCATTCGGTATGACTTTCACGGTTCAATACGCGCTTGTGAATTGCGGTTTCTCAGTTTTGCATTTAAATAATTTATGTGTGTTTTATATCTCCCCGAATTGACTTTGTGTGCCTCTAAATCCATGAGCTCAGATAAGGAAACTCCTCCCCGCGAGTAAATATGGCGCTTGACCATTATTCCACACTTTAACATGGCGAGCGGCGATGAAGTGAGGCTGAGGTAACAGTATGAGGAAGCGCCATCGTCTTTCAAATCTGCAGTGTGAGCACATTTCGGTTTTGCTGGTAAGTAGAATGCCAATGAAAGAAAAAATGGTGAACAAAAAATAACTGTGTGCAAGCATCGTCTTTAAAATCGTCATAGGTTTCAGCTCTTGGCGATATCTTTGCCTATCGTCGATACACGATACTATCGTTGATAGGCACAACCCTAAGTGTAGGTTTACACCTCTACATCAAATATTTAAAAGGAGAAGAATAAGACATTAATTCTTACCGTACCACCGAACCAAAAAACAGCATCACAACCAGTAAGGTTGTTCCAATACCAAAGTCTGTCAATCAGAACCCCCAACACAATGCAGAGGACTCCATATATTATCTGCATAGTCTATGGAATAAAAATAAACAGATTTTTGCTTGAATGCCTCAAAACCGATAATGCATCTTAAAATGTAAAATAATTGTAATGGAAACGCAATGAAAAGACAGTGGTTTAATTCACCCCAAGAGCAGTGTAAACGCTCTTCAGCTTCTCCTTCACAGCCTGAGACACAGAATATACTGGAGTGTAGCATAAAGTGCCCAGGATCTGACACAGAATGGGCCATTTGCTCTTCGGGTTTGAGGTGACGGTGATGACAGTAATGCCTTCACCCTGAGCCAGTGTCAGAGACATGCTGCGGGTGGAAACGATGCACTTCAATCTTCACACAACTGATGAAGTCCAAACCTGCTGTATAAAACACAAAGAAATGAGTATTATAGTACATAATCAGAATCAAAAAGAGGTTTTTTGCCTGGTATGTTTACAAGAGAAAGATGTTTTTCTGATAGACGTTTTGACAGTGCAAAAGAATAACAGTAACAAGACAAAGACACAGATAATAAAGGAGATTAAACAGATATAAAGGAAATAAAGGAATTTTTAAATAAAAAGTAGATACTGTAGGTAATAAACATATACAAATTGACAAATGTATGTGCAGGAACATTACTATATGCAATATTGTATGGATAGCTATATGATAAAATACACAAACTCAATAAATCAAAGCTAAAACAAAGCTTGTTCTACAAAATTGACCGCGTTTTCCGTTTGGTGCAAAGAAAAAGTTTGGTTACACAATAACATAAAGGAGCAAGTTCTAGGGATGTTCTGATAACTTTTTCCCTTTCCAAGACCGATTTCGATACCTGAGATTAGACATGGGCCGGTATAAGTTTCTAACAATATAATAACCTTGAATAAAAATATCATGGTTTCACAGTATTGCGATTACTGCTCTAAAATTTGCTCTTTTTCAATGTCTGAGTAAAAAACTTTTTTTCCGCTTTGAACACATTAGCTGCATCTGAAATTGCATACTTCCATACTATATAGTACCCTAAAAACAGTATGCGAACAGAGTAGTATGTCCGAATTCATAAAATAGAAAAACAGTATCGGGAGAAGAACCCGAATAACTATCTACTTCCGGCGAGATTCTGAAGTGCGCATCCAAAGGACGCTACGCTATCCCATTATGCACCGCAAGAGAATTCAAAAATAGGAGTGAAGCCATGCAACTGGTATGTCATGTGATTATGACAATATGGTATCTCTAGTACGTCCGAGCTCCATTCATACTACTCACATTCATACTATATAGAACATACTTTTCTAAAGGTTGAGTGTTTAATTCAAATTTACATGCAGTACCTACTGAGTAGTAGGCGATTTCGGACGCATTTTATTTTGAGAAAAATGTAAAATATTTTGGAACAGTAAACATGTCAGGCCAGATCATTCAAATGAGTCCTTGACTTCTGCTGTCTTCATTAGTTTCAAAAACACAGATTACTTTACAACTTAAAACGGCATCTTTGGATACAATTTCTGCTGAAGATACTGTTGTCAAGAAAAAAAAAAAGAAAAAAAAATCTTACATTTACCATAGGCACGGTGTGACATAAAATTTTGGTGGTTTTAAAAGCTTGACTTTTCCAAACTGCGGTATACCTTGAAAACAGTTATCATCCCATACCTACCTGAGATATAACCGAGTGTTTTAAAAGATGGTGTCAGGTCAGTATATTTTTTCAAATACTTGCCAATATCAATGCAGGAATTTTGGTAGTATCAGCGAGTAAATGGATACTAGTATTGATATCCTAACAACTATAGTTGGCAACAGACTTCAGTTTTAATTCATTTATTTATTTACACATTTGAAGAATAGTCTAAAGCAGACATATGCTTACTTAACACTTATGCAAAGATGCTCATTTTATATACACTAATAATATAATAAATAAAATAAAAAATCACATGGAAAATAAACAGTTTCTCTGGATTTCTTAGGTATTCATTAGGATTTGATCCAAATGGTAATTAATATTTGTTTTATTCTATTAAAGGCTTGATACCATTTCTTCAAAATTCAAAATAAGAAAATTGTAATTTAAGGCTTTAATTGTTAATGATAATTATTCAAAATTACAAATGTCTTCAATTGTGAAGTAAAGTTGGTTTTATATTCGCACATTCTTTCAGTGATAACTTCCCTATACCATGCTACTTTAAATATTTGGGCTGAAATCACATGCAAGTATGACTTAAAAACAACATTAGCACTTTTGAATTGATGGTGAACAATGTTGTACTTTAATAGTCATTGGCTGCTAATTTTGATTCCGCTATTTGGAATTTGCAAAGAAATAATTTGTGAAATTATATTTTTAAGGAGAAAGTCTAAATAGGCGAATATAAAACCAACGTTACCTCAATCCTTTATTGACCATGTTTTTCTGCTCAGTTTAAAAAATAAATAAAAGTTTGCTTAAACAATGACATAAAGGGACATAGGGATGTTTTGATAACCTTTTCCGTTCCCGATGACGATTCCAATACCTGAGATTATACCTAAATATTTAAAAAGATAGTGTCGGGTCGGTTTATTGTTTCAAATACTCATCGATACCAATGCCAGAAATTTGGCGGTATCAACTATTTTTAGACACTAGTATTGATTTCGGAACAACCCTAGTTGGAAACATAGGTTTAATCTATTTATTTACACTTTTGAAAAACTGTCTGAAGCAGACATATTTTACAACATGCTTACTTAACCCTTATATTTAAAGATGCTCATTTTATATACACTGATGATATACTCAGAGAGAGATCACATGCAAAATACAGTTTCTCTGGATTTATTGGGTATTCACTAGGATTTCATTAAAATATTAATGTTATTAAAGGCTTGATAGCATTTATTCCACATTTCAAACTAGAACCTTGTCATTTAAAGCTTTATTTTCTTAATGAAACGAGTCAAAATAAGAAATGTCTTCAATTGTGATAGCAAATCAGGATTATTTCACAAAATATAGATTTCTTAACCATTCACAGGTAAAACATTGCTTTTGTGTTATCAAACAATGATGTTATTAACATTAACATGTCTGTTAATATGGAACCTTACTGTTATTTTAATGGGAAGTGCTTTAAAACATTTTATTTTACATTTGCAATAAATGTTATACAGAAAAACATTGTTTTTTTTTACTCAAATGCACACACAATAAACCAGAAATCTTAATATTTAAAAAACTATAGTTAAAACAAAGCTTATCCGTCTCCTTTTCTTTCACAAACACATTCTGTAACATCGAAAACTAATCGAAACGGTAACATAACGGTAACGTTAATGAAAACAAAACAAACAACGTGACAACGAATTCATAGATGTTCAATATTATACTTATACCCTTCAAAAAGCTTTTAAAAAGCTACTCAAACCTACCGTGGTACTAACACTCGCAGGATTCGGGGGAGATTTCAAAACTTTGTTCGAGTTTAACCTCAGAGTTCGACAACAAACTTCTTGTTACGAATAAAACACAAATGGCGTTGTTAGTGAACGAATCGTTCTGTTGAGTCGGTTACTTTAAACAGATCTTCTGAATCAGTTCACAAACTGCATCGTCACAGACTGCATCACAGCGTTTCATTCAGACAGCCGACCACCTAATAAAGGCTTTCTTTAAAACACAGATTTAAATACATTACTGCACTGTTTAAAGTAAATAGAAACTACTTTTAGGGTTGTAAATAACCGAATTTACGCGATGACGCAATGAAATCAGTGAATTGAATTTGTGAACCGGTTCTTTTAAACAAAAAAGAAGGTACCAACTTCCCGACTTTGGTCCGGAAGGCATCATTTCCCGTTATAAGGCGGAGCTATTATACTTCAGCGTTGATAAACAGGAATGTATTGCAGAATGATAGTTCTACAGTAGGACTACCATTGATGCTACCGGTAACGAGCTAAAAAAGGTAAATGTTGAAAATAATAAAATAAATAGGACAGTCTACGTGTAGCATGTGTACAGTTTAATACCCTAAGGTGAATCTAAATATAATTTAATAATTTATCTAAGAATTAGTGATTAAATTGAGTTAAATCCTTCATATTTAATATAATAGTTTATCTGGTGTCTCTGCTTTCACGCTTTCAAAAGCTGCTTTTGTGTTAAATAAATGCCACCTGCTGGTAAAATCATGCAAATACTTTTTTGGTCCTTGAAGTAGGTTTAAGACAGATGTAGCCTAATTCATTGATAAAAATGCAAAATACGAACAATTCAAGAAATAGGAGCCTGCAAGTTTATTAATACTACGAGTATAAAGATTAAGTATTAAGTTACTCTATTTTACTTAAAATATATATTTTTAAATTGAATTGAATAAATACATTTTAAAATTCTGAAAAGCAGTATTTGCATAAACACCAAAATCTATGTAATGTTAAATGTAGAGGTTAGGGTTACACAGACAGACAGACAGACACACACACACACACACACACACACACACACACACACACACACACACACATATATGTCTACTGAATTTTCAAGAATAGCCTGAATTGCCTTGTTGATGCCAGAGGTCAGGGGAGAATGGCCTAACTGGTTTGAGCTGATAGAAAGGCCACAGTAACTCAAATAACTACTCATTACAACAGAGGTCTGGAGAAGTGAGTCTCGGAACACACAACACATCCAACCTTAAGGCGGATGGGCTACAGCAGCAGAAGACCACACCGGGTGCCACTCCTTTCAGCTAAAAACAGCAAACTGAGGCTACAATTGGCACAGGCTCACCAAAACTGGACAATAGAAGACTGGAAAAACAATGTCTGGTCTGATGAGTCTCAATTTCTGCTGTGACATTCGGATGGTAGTGTCAGAATTTGACATCAACAGCATGAAAGCATGGATCCATCCTGCCTTGTATCAACGGTTCAGGCTGATGGTGGTGGTGTAATGGTGTGGGGATATTTTCTTGGCACACTTTGGGCCCATTGGTACCAATTTAGCATTGTGTCAATGCCACAGTAATGCCTGAGTATTGTTGCTGACCATGTCCATCCCTTTATGACCCCAGTTCTTCCTATGGCTACTTCCAGCAGGATAACGCACAATGTCATAAAGCGAAAACCGTCTCAGACTGGTTTCTTGAACATGACAATGAGTTCACTGCACTTAAATGGCCTCCACAGTCACCTTAACTCAATTCAATAGAGTACATTGTGGTTGTGGATGTGGTGGAATGGGAGATTCACATCATGTATGTGCAGCCGACAAAATCTGCAGCAGCTGCATGATGCTATCATGTCAATATGGACCAAAATATCTGAGGAGTATTTCCTTTATCTTGTTGAATTTATGCCATGAAGGATTAAGGCAGTTCTGAAGCCAACCCTGTGTAGGGATTATTCAGTTATAACCCAAAGAATGACCGGTCTGTAAGATGAAGAAAAGCCGGAGTCAGAGATTCAAATAAATAAATAAAGTTTACTAAAGATAGTTTGCAATTTCATCAGCAGAAGCCAGCTTAAACACTCGCAATGAGTTCCTAGGTCACTCTGCTTACAATCACCATTCAATAACAATTATACTGTCACATAACGTCATTAACTGTGTCACACATATAGATGTTCTAACCTGATTGGTTAAAACACAGATAGACTGGGAAAATTTCCATGTGGGTGCGTGCGTACAATTCTGAACGATATCTTACGCATATAAATGTCAGACATCCACTAGACTGTTTAGAGCTGACTCCAGACCTGTGAAAAGGATCCACTATCAAATAGAACACACACTTAAAGTACAATCTGTTTTTTACTCAAGGCTGACTCTCAGCCGTCTTTATCAAAACTGGATTAAAACTGGTATAATCTACATTCAGGCAGTTTTATCCTTACTACACAAAGTCTATCTTGAATAAAAAATAGAATCACTTTAAAATAATTAACTGTAAAAATAGCAAAATCACTTTAGACATTTTATACAGTATTAACTCAGTATTAAACAGTTGTTTCCGGCCCTCAGCCCTTCAGTCCCATTCTTATATTCACATCCACACACATAGACTACATCCAATTATATTTAACTCACCTATAGCGCACATCTTTAGACCGTAGGGGAAACCGGAGCACCCAGAGGAAACCCAAGCCAAAACGGGGAGAACATGCAAACTCCACACAGAAGTGCCGACTGACCTTGCCGGGATTTGAACCAGTGACCTTCTTACTGTGAGGTGACAATGCTGACCACTGAGCCACCATGCCACCCCACTGACTTCCATAATAGGAAGGAAAATACTACAGTATGTAAGTCAATGTTTACAGGTTTTTAGTGTTATTCAAAATATGATACTTAATATTTAACAAATGAAAGAAACTCATAAAGGTGTAGAACCACTTGAGGGAGAGCAATTACTGTGTAAATATACATTTCTGGGTGAACTACCCCTTACATTTTTTACACAAGGTGAAACTAAATGGTCCTTTAGTTGAATTAACATCTAGTTTAAGGTTTAGTTATATGTTAATTCAACTTGGGCTGTTAAGTTTAATCTAAACACCTGACTTTTCTAGAAAGTTCAACTATTTGGGTTAAGAGTGTAGTTTAAGCATTGACAATGTACAATGTTTCACCTAACTGACCGTTACCAGTTTGTGAATATTAATAAACAGCTTTCACAAGTCAGCCCAGTAAAGTATGGGGTGCCTCAAGGATCGATTACAGGCCCTTTGCTGTTTACAATATACATGCTGTCACTTGGAGACAATTTTAGAAGACACTTCAATGTAGATGATACTCAATTATGTATTTCAGCTAAACCTGATGAACCGTCTGAACTGTCTAAGCTAACTGAGTGTATTAAAGATGGTAAAAACTGGATGACCAACAAATTTCTTCTCTTAAATTTAGACAGAAGTATTAATTATTGGGCCTAAATCCAGAACACAGCAGATCTCACAACTCAACCTGCAATTAGAGAGATACAAAGTTAGCATTAGCTCTCCTGTAAAAGATCTGGGTGTTATATTAGACAGCAGTTTAACTTTTGAAAATCATATCTCCCATGACACAAAACAGCCTTCTTTTATCAGAGAAATATCGCTAAGCTACGAAATATGCTATCCATCTCAGACACAGAAAAGCTAGTGAATGTATTTTTTGAATGTATTTCTATATGTTTTAACAGTGTATTTTAATAGTGGCAGATTATACAGTGATTATATAGTGATTACATAATAAAAGTTCCTCTATAATTCTCCTAAACTAGTTCATGTTTTTATGACTTTTAGACTGGATTACTGTAATGCTCTGTTTGCGGCTGCCCAGCATCCTCTATTAACAAACTTCAGTTAGTACAAAATGCAGCTGCCAGAGTTCTTACCAGGTCTAAAAATATGATCATATCACCCCAATTTTATCCTCCTTACACTGGCTGCCTGTTAAGTTCTGTATTGATTATAAAATATTGCTTCTTACCTATAAAGCTTTAAATAATCTAGCTCCTGTTTATCTAACCAACCTTTTGTCTCGCTACAATCCAACCCGCTCTTTAAGATCTCAAAACTTCTGGTAGCACCTACAATAGCAAAATCCACTAAAGGAGGTCAAGCCTTCTCATTTATGGCTCCTAAACGTTGGAATAGCCTTCCTGATAATGTCCGAGGCTCAGACACATACAAAACTAGATAAGTTCAAAACTGGATTAAAGACCAATCTTTTTAGCAAAGCCTACACACAATGCACAGCTGCTACACTAATTATTTTCTTTATTCTCTATTTCCACCTGAAGATACTAATCCTGATTATGCAGAGATTAATCAGACCTGAGAAGAGATGATGCCAAGGTATCCATAATCCTGGACCAGGCCATGTCCTGAGCTGTTGCTGTGCTCCATGTGCCATGGAGGAGTGGAGAGGTTGAGACTGATTTCTGAAAGACCTCAGTGACAGAAGAGTCTTTGCATTGATCTCGTGGGCCAGCCTGATCCCCGGCCAGTGACCTACTCACACCTGCAGCTTCTCCACAATGAATGTCCAGCGTTCTCCAGCCTCCAGCACCTAGACTGCAGCTCTGCACAGGAAGTTTGGCCAGAGGTGAAATGGTCCTACCCAACTGAGCCTGGTTTCCCTCTAGGCTTTTTTCCCCTTCACTTTCGTCAATTGGTGACGTTTGTTCTTCGTCACTGTCACCACTGGCTTGTTTGGTTGGGTCTTGTGGAGCTGCGATGGATTTGCTCATCAGTGTTTGGACTTTCAGCAGTGAAATTTAAAACCACACTGAACTAGACTGAACTTCAACACTGAAAACTGGACTGACACAGTTTTAGTTTTAATTTACTAGAACTTTTATGTCAAGCTGCTTTGACACAATCTACATTGTAAAAAGCACAAGCGAAATAAACATGAATTGAATTGAATTTAATTTAATTATCAGTTTAAAATATAGGGATACCCAAAATCAAATACAAGCATTCCTTGAACCGTCAGTTTATCTGCATATAGTTGGTCTTTTCAAATTATTTTTGTCACATTTCACACTTTTTTTCTGGTAATTTTAGGTTATGGTAATTTGGCTAATTAAAGAAAAGAGGCTAATTAAACAAAATTTAAAAACAGATTTAGACAACAAAACAAATATGAACATGCAACATGGATGACCTTGAAGATATACAGTACAGTTGTTTTTAGCTTTAATAAAAAACAAGAGTAAATACATTTTTATTTCTTTCCCACCCCCCTTCGATTTCTTTCAAATTAAGCTGCTGTTGATTACAAAGTTAAAACCTGTTGGAAAAAAAAAAGAGATTGCAGAATCAGAAATCAAAAAACAAGGCAATAATTACACTGCGTAACATTGACATAACAGAAAATACATACGTCTGTCTTACTAAATGCCCAATAAACATGCACTGCAATCTAATAATTAAAACCAATGATTTTTTGTATCAAATCAAATCCTGGAAAGTCCATCGCTATAATCCCAAAACAACCCTTCGGATTTTGTTTAGAAATGCCACTGAGATGACCATACAGCCAAGGGTTGATTTCTTTTGCCACATGGTTTGGAGTGTTCCATATGATCAACAGAGGCAAGCCTGTGCCGCTGGAATAGCTCAGCACAGCCCTATTAGTTTTAAGTGCACCTAAAGCCTGTTTCAGATGCTCAGTAATTTTATCTTCCTTTTTTTTTATTCTAAATACTTTATAGTCACCCTTTTGATCAGTTTCAAGCAGAGGGATTCCCAGTTTAAAGCTGTTTTTCTGAACAAAAACAATCTTTCCTCTTACCTCTCTAATTTGTGGAATTCTCTCACTAACCCAACAGCCAGGATCATTTTTAAGCTGATGTATAACATTTTCTGGAAATCTGCCCCTTGACTTAACATGCTTGACTCTGATCAACACCGTCTCAGTTTCATACTGAGACAAAAATCTCTTTGTTGTGTCGAAAACTTCAGCAAATGTTGTTAACTGGGGAATCCAACCATGCACAATTTTCAGGTTCTTTCCCTTCACTCTCAAGTCTATGTAGCGTATGCCAGCCTTTAGCTGGTTCTCCAGTGACCACGACTGACATTGTGATCCTGGTATTTTAAGAAGAGCCATGGTTTCATGAGTGCCAGGAATATTGACTTCAGAAATCAACTTTTCATCATCCAGAGTTTCCATCCAGCCGACTCTATAACTAGGAGGAAGATTGAGTGTTGCTTTATCATTAAACGCTTGTTGTTGAAAGCTCTTGTGCAGCCTGTGGAACAAAGTCAGAATATCAGACAGCAATGTTTGACACATTACCAACAAAGTTTGAGTGTGCTGTATATTTATTTTAGAGTCATAGTGATGATCAGTATTGAAAATAAATATAAAATCTTATTTCCATTGCTGTAGTTTTCTTTTTAATTAGCCAGATCATATACAAGTACATTCATTCAAATACTCACAAAAGCATCAAGACACAGAACACTGCGCCAGTGACCCCCATCTTCATTGTCTGAGGAAAGCAGAAAAAAACTAACTAGTGGTGCAGAGATTAATGCGTTTACATAAACAATTACAGTTCTTGAAACTAAATTGCAGAAATTTTAACAAATACTTTTTAACAAGAACAAACTTTTAACAAGGCGGCATGATGGCGTAGTGGTTAGCACTGTTGCCTCACTGCAAGAAGTTCACTGATTAGAGTTAGTTGGCATGTCTGTGTGGAGTTTGCCTGTACTCCCCTTGTTGGTGTGGGTTTCCTCCAGGTGCTCTGGTTTCCCCCACAGTCTAAAGACATGCGCTGGTGAATTGGTATACAAAATTTACCATATGAGTGTGTGTGTGTGTGTAAATGTGAGAGTGTATGGGTGTTTCCCAGTCCTGGGTTGCAGCTGGACAGACATCCGCTAGGTAAAAACATATGATGAATAGGTTGATGGTTCATTCCGCTATGGCGACCCATGAATAAATAGACTAAGCGGAAGGAAAATGAATGAATGACATTTTTTTTTACAAATAAAATAGAAACCTACAGTATACCAACCCATCTAACAGAAACCTTTCTCAGAATGTTGTGGAATAAACTTACAGGTAAATGGTCTTTAATAACATTCTCAAAATATTCATTCATTTTTTTTCTTAGTCCCTTTATTATTCGGGGGTTGCCACAGCAATGAACCACCAACTTATCCAGCACATGTTTTACGCAGCGGACGCCCTTCCAGCTGCAACCCATCACTGTGAAACTCCAATAGACTCTCATTCACACTCATACCCTTCGGACAATTTAGCTTACCCAATTCATCTATAGTGCATGTCTTTAGACTGTGGGGGAAACCGGAGCATCTGAAGAAAACCCAAGCGAACACTTGGAGAACATTCAAACTCCACACAGAAATGCCACCTGACCCAACCAAGGCCAAAACCAGCAACCTTCTTGCTGTGAGGCCACAGTGCTACCTACTGCGCCACCATTCTTAAAAAATGAACATAAAAATTTACCAAGTTTTCTTTAAAATAAGAGAACCTTTTAAAGAACATTCATAATATTACCATAATCTTTTGAAAATGTGAAATGGTGACTAAAGGTGAGAAAATGTTTCTCATAACATTTTCTGTAACAGCAAAAAACCTTTATCAAAATATTAAACATTCAGAAAGATTTTTTTAATGTACAACCAAGCTGCCCATTTCATTTTCAGTCTTATTTCCTAGACTAAATATAGAGCTCAATTTTTTGTTTTTCAGCTCAGTTTTATAATCAGATAAAGATTCTGCAAACTTGTAAGTTTGGAAATCGAGCTGTGCACAACATTGTGTTTGTATTTATAGACACACTGAAGTCCAGGTAGCAAATCCTGGTCTTTAAAATTATTGGCACGAACAACTGACTGTTTTCATGGATTGATCGATTGACCTATCCATCCATCCATCCATCCATCCATCCATCCATCCATCCATCCATCCATCCATCCATCCATCCATCCATCCATCCATCCATCTATCTATCTATCTATCTATCTATCTATCTATCTATCTATCTATCTATCTATCTATCTATCTATCTATCTATCTATCTATCTATCTATCTATCTATCTATCTATCTATCTATATATCATTCTATCTATCTATCTATCTATCTATCTATCTATCTATCTATCTATCTATCTATCTATCTATCTATCTATCTATCTATCTATCTATCTATCTATCTATCTATCTATATATCATTCTATCTATCTATCTATCTATCTATCTATCTATCTATCTATCTATCTATCTATCTATCTATCTATCTATCTATCTATCTATCTATCTATCTATCTATATCTAAGAAATTTTTCAACATTTAAAAAATAATCAAATAGAACATTCCTGTGACACCTGCCCAAAAACATTCACAGACAATTTAGAAATAGTTTCTTCTTAGTTTTACAGTTTTTTCTCAGTGGCTTTGGTGCATTTCTCACAACACCAGTGCATTTCTGCAAAACAGTTAATGCATTTCTCAAAACAATTAGTACAAACTGCAAAACCTAGATGATAACCTGCAAGAGCGTGTCACATGCTCAAAATGGACAGTTCATTCCTCAAAAGCAAGTATTGATGTCAATCAAAGTGTCAGTATCATCAAAATAAAAAGTCCTGACACCATTGTTCATGAACAAGATAGTCAAATGGCTTAGTCATGTTTTCATTATGACAGTTTACGTTTACTATAGACATTTTTTCAATGCATAAATGTCAGGTTTTTTCAAGTCCTGAAAATGCTCAAGACAGCACTGTATACAATTTTCACAGCCATTTATGTATATATATATGTATGTATATATATATATATGTATATATATATGTATATATATATATATATATATATATATATATATATATATATATATATATATATACATATATATATATACATGTACATACACACACACACACAGAACAAGAACAAACATTGGCTCTTCCTTTAGACAAACAAAAGACAATATAAAAGAAAACAACAAAGAAAAGAGACAAAATAGCCCTTTCAGGCTCAAATTAATTTTTAGAAACAGGAAAAATCTGATATTTGGGGAAAATTATCATATGGGGCAGTACAATAGAATCCTGACTTTTTTTTTAGAGAGACCTTCACATGCAAGGCGTTCTGGGATGTTGCAGATTTGCAACATTGGCCCAGTGTGGTAATTAGACACTGACGACTGAATATGATATGAACAATAAATTTTTATATACAACTTTTCAAACTATGTTACAAATTTGTTTTCTGTGACAGAACAACAACAAAAACATTATGGGATCCAAATCCAATATCTCAAATCCTCATTGAGTAGGTCATGTGGTACTCCAGAAACAGTTTTTGTCTTTTGTGTCATCTGGTGAGCAAGTGGGGAAACTGTTTGTTGCTAATGGACAACCAAGTCCTGCAGTGGTACTTCTGAGTAAAAAAAAAACACATGAAATATGTATCTGGAGTAATAAGGTAGTTAATTTTTAACTGTTGCAAATCTGCAACGCCTTTCTTGAGAGGGATAAACACACAAAAAAAACCACACATCATAGTCACAAAACATACAATCAAAACTAATGAGGCTGTATAAACCTCAGAGGGGTCACTGGATTGCTCTTGAGATGTAGATTTGTCAAAAAAAATCAAGAAATTGACCCCCAAGTAGCCAAATATTTTCTCGTGGAGCTAGTCCGTAAAAAATCTGAGTATCTCCATCTGAATAACAGACATCATATCAGAAATCCAGTTCTGTAATGAGGGTGGTAACGGTGATTTCCAATTATTAAGCAATAGTCTTTTAGCCACCACCATGCCTTGCATTAAAGACGCTTGCACTGTTTGAGGGAGAGAAGATGTGTTTTGTGAAAGTCCAAAGATAGCAAGTTCGGCATCTGGCAGAAAAAGTGTACTACAAGACTTGGAGTATCAGTCAAATATGTTAGTCTAGAATCTGTTCAGTAGGGGAAAGAGCCAACAGGCATGAGCAACCGTGTCCTCTGCCATCTTGCATCTATCGCACATTGGTGAGACTGTAGGAAAGATTTTATGGAGCTTGGCTTTAGTATAGTGTAGACGATGCATGACCTTGAATTGAATCAGTTGGTGTCTGCTGTTGACTGAGCATGACTGTATTAAAGTCAGACAATTGTCCCATGTGTCTGCAGAGTTCGATTCCCAAATCTTTTTCCCAGGCAACTTTTAATCTAATGGAGGACACTGCAACACAACTTTATAATCTATACGTTTCTGAATGTGATTAGTTTTTGTTGATTCACACAGGGTGGTGCGGTGGCGCAGCAGGTAGCCTCACAGCAACAAGGTCGCTGGTTCAAGCCTCAGCTGGGTCAGTTGGCATTTCTGTGTGGGGTTTGCATGTTTTCCCTGTGGGTTTCCTCCACTAGCACTATAGGTGAATTAGGTAAGCTAAATTGTCTGTAGTGTATGTGTGTGAATGAAAGTTTATGGGTGTTTCCCAGTGATGGGTTGCAGCTGGAAGGGCATCCGCTGTGCCTCACACAAATTGTCCACTCAAGTTAAATTTTCTGAGATGCAATTGAGGCATTTGATTAGATTTGCTTCTATTCATGCATTTGCATCGAGTTTGTAACCCGTGTAATCCACTTGCATGGACATTTAATTTACATTTACCAATTTACATCAGGCTGTTGGTCTGTTTTAAAGACCTAATTATTTTCACAAGCTTTTAATACTCCTTGATTACTGTTTTTTTTATTAATATTATTATTGCTTTTACTTATTAAACAGTTTTCTGTTACATTTTAGTTTCTTCTCTGTCTTTAGTACTCCTATGTACAGCACGTTGGTCAACTTTGATTGTTTTTAAATAGGCTTTATAAATTAATATTGTGGGGTGAAGCAGTGGCGCAGTAGGTAATGCTGTTGCCTCAAAGCAAGAAGGTTGCTGGTTTGAGCCTTGGCTCAGTTGGTGTTTCTGTGTGGAGTTTGCATGTTCTCTTTCGCATGGGTTTCCTCCGGGTGCTCGGGTTTCCCCCACAGTCCAAAGACATGTGGTACAGGTGAATTGGGTAAGCTAAATTGTCCGTAGTGTATGAATGCGTGTGTGGATGTTTCCCAGAGATGGGTTGCGGCCAGAAGGGCATCTGCTGCGTAAAAACTTGCTGGATAAGTTGGCGGTTCATTCCGCTGTGGCGACACCGGATTAATAAAGGGACTAAGCCGACAAGAAAATTAATGAATGAATGAAATTAATATTATATTTTATTAATATTATAATATTGTATTGCATTTGTGAACCCAATGAATGAACAACAGTACAGAATGAATTAGTTAATGTTAATTCCAACATATACCAATGCATTATTATTCAGGTTAGTTCATTTTTATTTATAAAGCAAAATAAAACAACAATGGTTGACCCTTGTGCAGAAAAAATATTAAAAAAGAAGTCCAAATACATAAGACAAACAAGTGTTCAACTCCTGTTGGCCTTCTCTAATAGGCTTTAAGCCTGATAGTGATTCTGTCACAATTGATTTATTAGAGATTGAAGGCTGTACCATAATTTATAGGGAAAACTATATGGAAAAAGCAAGGTCCCATCTTTAATGAATAATAATAACATTATTAAATGCAATAACAATGAACGACTGTATTTTTATACACAAATGAA